GTATATTTCCCCTCATTATGTTTTGTATGATGAATGGAAAATTGAAGGGATACATTTTCCTTTGTTTGGTATTGAATGGAAAATTGGATGGAAAGGAAAAATATATATACTAAATTTACCATTATACCCTCACATTTAAGGGGTGAATTTTTCTATAGGAATTATCTCACACATGAACCAAAATGCATGAATAAGATTAAAGAAAATAAACTAAAATGCATGCTTTTTTTTTAAAGCAAAATTTATTGATAAACTTCAAAATTTACAAGAAGCAAATTTTTACAAAACACAAAAAAGCCAAAAAGATGGCTTTAATTCTTCAAAACATAACAAAAGAAAACCCCCTCCATCAACAATACCCCATCCATCATAGCACTGCAGGGCATCAACAACTCAGCATCATTGTAGCACAACAACAATCATCACAACAGCATCAGTCAAATAGGCAATGTTACAATCAAAATTTAGAGAAAAAAATCAACAACTACATAGAGAAAAAAAAATCAACAACTACAGAGAGCAAAATCAACAACTTTGGAGGGTGTTTCTGAGTTGATGGAGGTCTCAGTTACAGGCTAGTATTATTGGTTTTGAGATTATTTTGGGGAGTCTCCTATTTTGAGATTTCTAAGGCTTTCTAGAAAGCAATCTTCATAAAAACTAGCAATACAACACCAAAAAAAAAATCAGGATTACAACATAAAAGAAAAATCAGCAATACAACACAAAAGAAAAACAATTTCAAGTTTTCTAGAAAGCAATCTCAAGCTTTCTTCATGGAAGGGAAAAGAAGAGATATATAAATGAAAGAAAGGGTTTAAAAGCAGATTTCGGGGTGGGAAAAAAATGTATTGCAGCTTGCCTCTCATTCATTCTTTCTTTCTCACCATTAAAAAAAAAACTATTTCCCAGGCAGCATAAATTTTTTGTTATCATATGATTCAGCTAAAGTAATTTTGGTGGTAAATGAAATAATAAGTAAATAACCGATCATAATGGATACATGAGTTTATGAACTAATGAAAAATCCGTACATGGACCTAAGTTCAAATGACAAAATAATAGTTAAATGTAATGTTCACGAGATTGATATCATAAATAGATTCAAGACATTTCTTCAAACAAGAAAAGTTTCACATTTCTGACACAAATACAAAGTCACTAATAGGTGTATGCTATCAAGCTCACCAATGATGGTAGAAAGATTGTTTAAATCCCAAAAAAAAAAAAAATTTGGCTAAGTCCAAAAAATTTTTTTTTGGTTAGGTCGAATTCACTTGTGTGATTTCACTTTGATCACTATATGTAATTTTGAAGCATGATTATTGTGTACTATAGTAGATCATATGAGTTAGTTCCTTTAATATTTCTACCTTTGTGTGTGTACTCAAGTTTCGGACTCCCCCCATTTTTACAATTTCTAATGATTTCTTCTTATGACGTTAATCAACAACACAACACACAAGAGATTAACAAAAAATCAGATCTATAATTAGCAAAAATCATATCTATAACCAGCAAAAATTAGAGAAAAAAATCAGCAGTCAGATCTATAACAAGACATTAGCAAAAATCAGATCTACAACCAACAAAAATCAGATCTACAATCAGCAAAAATCAGATCTATAACCACAAAAAATCAGAGAAAAAAATCAACAGAAATCAGAGAAAAAAAAATTAACAAAAATCAAAGGGATGTACCTTCATCGACGCAGAGTAGAACCATTATCAATGTCTTTGTTGAAGAGGAGAGGCGTCTGGTGATGAAGAGGATAGCCGACGAAGAGGCCTGACGACGAAGAAGAGAGGCGAGACAGAGAGAGAGAGAGGCGATGAAACTGAGAGGCACGAAGACAAGTTTGAAGGGTTAGGGTTTGGGTATTGCTATTTATATGGGTGTCTTTTTTGTGCTAATAAGTTTCGAATCCTTGACCTCATTAAAAATAAATGCGCGTTAAACGTTTTTTTCTTTTCAAAAATGTTTTTTTTTTGTTTTTGAAAATTGTCCCTCGTTTATAAAATGGTGGCAGAAAAAAAAAATTGGTTATCAAACGAGTTTTTTTTTCTTGTTTACTCTAAAAATCAAAATAAAAACGAAAAACGTAAACGTTACCAAACGAGATCTCAAGTTTTATTTCTCTAGCTTTTTACACAAAACCCTTCAATGAGGGATAGGGGAAACAGGTACTTGCCTTCTTGAATTGAATAATGTTTCCAATTTTGAAGTGATCCATGACTTATAATATCCCACATCACAATCTCAACAATTTATGAGTAAACTGTACTAGTATATGGCAATGGCAATGGCAATGACTTGACGGTTAAATAAGAATGGAGTTCAACTCTATCCAAGTTACAATAATCAAACCAGTGTAACATCAATTCATCATTGCTCAATGCAATAATGCAGATAAAAAAAATACAAGCAAATCTAATGTAAGGAAAAATGTCACATGGACAAGTTGATCAAATATAATTGGTAACCAGAACATACTATGTCATCTAATAAAGAAATCGAAGAGTGAACCTGATAACTCATTAATATGAACCAATTAGACACTTTTAAAATCAAATAAAGATAACCCAAAACGAAATATACCCCACACCAGCCCTATCTTGCTGCACAAATGTAGGGCATGTTTGGATGTCCGAATAACATAGGCATAAATTTAATTCGTTATTTTTGAAACCAAACTCATGCACAATTGTTTTTTAATGATTGAATCATATGTATGTGGCTGATTGAAACAATCAAACACCCTAGCTCAATTTTGAAACTAATAAATGTTTTGAAAATGAATAACCTGCATCTGCACATCCAAACACGCCCTTAATCATTTGCTAATTAGATTGTCCATAACGTCAGATATTACAAAGCCTTAAATTTCACGATCTAGACAATTAAAAAAATATAAATTACTATATATATAAGAGATCGAGATATCTACGGTTTGAAATCTTATTAATCAATTTACAATTCCATGGCGTCTTCCAAATCTAATGTGAGATGTGATACCAATTAATGCGTTCCCTGACTGTTCCTTGGCCAACTAATAGAAAAACATAACATTCAAACATATAAATTGATTAAATATAAATCCCCTTGAACCTTACGCTACTAGCATGAATGTTGCTCTATTTGTTTGCTAATCCGACAAAGAAAATGCAACTCACAAAAGCGGTAAGAAAGACAAATATGCAAATAACGAAATGGGGAAGTTGGAAGGCATGAATCTAGAAGGCATGCAAATATGGAAGCTGGAAGGTATGAGTGACACTTGGTGCTGGGATTAATTACAACAATTAAGATAAAATGAATTGGATGTATTCACTTTGGATGAGCGACTGTCCGTAAACCTTTACTCAAGAAAAAGAAACGTATAAGCAGTCTGTGAGAAAGTAAAATATTAGTGACATTAGTTGTTTTTATAGGGCTAATTTTGTCAAATAAAAGTTTTTCACTCATCCTCACTTTTTATATTTGTATAGATATAGATAATGTAGGAATTTAATTTTTTTTATTTTAAAAATAAATAACAATGAGTAAATAAATTTGAAGGTGTCTTAGAAATGAAAGAGTCTAATGATAGAAAATAGGAGAGATGAAAAGTATGAGTGATACACTTTTTATCATTCAATGAAAGAAAGTAAAAATAATACATTTTTCTTCCTTTGTAATTGGTTGGATGAATGGAAAATAAAAATGATTATTTTTTTTGTGCTTGGTAAGATGAAAAAAATATTTTTTTATTTTTTTTAAAAAAAATATATAAATACATATTTTATCATTATACTAGTCATAAAATTGTGCCTAAAGGAACGATGAAATGTAAAATTCGACTGCCAAAAATTTTTTATCTCACTATATTAAATATAATATTTTTCTTTCATTTTTTTTATTACATCATTTAAAATTTATGTTTATCCATTGTTTTTTTTTAAAATATTGACATTTTTTTTTCAAAATACAGGATACGATAATTTTTTTAAACGTTTGTATACTATTGTGTATGGATAATATTTGAAATAAAAATTATATTAAACTATAAACTAATCAAATATTAAAATAATTGGACATATGATAAAAATGAGTGGTGTGATTTTTTTAGGGGGAAAATGTGTAGATGATAACATTCAACTTGTGAGTTATATTATTATATAGATTTTTATAAAAAAATTAAGGGATTATTATATTTGGACTCCTTGAGGTTTGTCATTTAATCACTCAGATCCCCTAACATTTGAAATATTACATACAGACTCCCTAAGGTTTGTACTCGTGCAACACGTAGGTCCTACTGTAAATATATCAGTTAATAAATTATACTTAAACCCCTGAAGTTTAAAATATTATATTTAGACAAAAAATAATGCAATCAAAGATAAAATATCAAATATTTTAAATTTTACAATCAAAATTCATGTTCTATTGTATCANATATATATATATATATATATATATATATATATATATATATATATATATATATATATATTAATGGATATATAGATAAATAAAATATATTTTAACACTAATAATTACATTTTTCTTACAATTTTAGAGTAATTAATTTTGGTGAGTTAGAAGAAAAACTCATCATTCACTTTTTATTATTCTTATTTTTTTTCTTATCAAATATAATTTTATTTTTTTCTTAAATTTTTCATTCTTCTATTACCAAATAAAACATAAGAGTTTTTTTGAGCAAACCACATAAGAGTTAAATAAAAAATAATAACATGTTTGACATTGTAGAATTACTAACAATAAATAAAGAAATTAAAAGTTTTCCACATAAGTATTGAAAGTACGTGTCATTTCACCATCCAACAAACTCTACAGATAAATTTTTACCAATTCCTTTCTTCTTCTTCGTTCACCTCCTTCACCACCATCCACTGCTCCACAGTCCCGTCCACTCCCCCACCCTCTCTCTCTACTCAAACTTTGCAAGTACATCATCAAATCCAAACCTTTGAATCTATCACAACCACCGTCCATGGCGACTCGCCACCTCCTCAACCTCACGCGCCGCTCCCGAAACCCCTCACGGCCTCTCTCTCCACCATACCTAACCCAAACCTCCCGATCCGCTTCACAATCTCTCGCTCAAACTCATGAATCCACACCTCCAGCATCCCCACCTCCCAAAGACTTCATGATCTATGACCGCCTAGCCGAAGGCGTCAAATCAAGGCTCAAACGCCTCGAAAACCCCGACCCCAGGTTCCTCCGATACGCCTCACCATACCCAACCCTAACCACCCACACCGGAATTCTCTCCGCGCCTGAGACTAAAGTCACGACTCTCCCCAACGGCCTCCGAGTTGCCACAGAGTCAAACCTCGCTTCCAAAACCGCCACCGTCGGAGTGTGGATCGACGCAGGGTCGAGGTTCGAGACCGATGAGACTAACGGCGTTGCGCATTTCTTGGAGCATATGATTTTCAAGGGGACTGCGTCGAGGAATGTTAGGGCTTTGGAGGAGGAGATTGAGAACATGGGAGGGCATTTGAATGCGTACACTTCGAGAGAGCAGACCACATATTACGCTAAGGTAATGGACAAGGATGTGCCCAAGTCGCTTGATATTCTGGCGGACATATTGCAGAATTCTGCGTTTGAGGATGGTCGGATTGATCGCGAGCGCGGTGTGATTCTTCAGGAGATGGAAGCGGTAATGTTTGTTGTCAGATTTAATGTTATTTTGAAAAAATTAGTATGAATTTCTTTATGGGTAATTGTTCAGTGTTAACAAGTAATGGGCTTTCTTATATTTCAGCTTTTGCCATGTTAGACTTTCACAAGTTTTCAGTAGTTATAATATCAGGTGCTATTTAAATTGTAGAATTTCACTAGTTCTGACTGGAACTTTGAGTTGGCGGATGTGAAAATTTCATCTAACACATCGAAGTATAGCGTTTACAAGACACTTGGAAGCGTGGATACAATTTACTGCATGCTTAAGTAAATTCAACATGTTTCTAGCTTTGGTGAACTAAGTTTGGTTAACTGACCTTACGATTATGTAACCTGGATAGACAGCAATTCTAATGTCTTCCAAGTAGAAAGGGTTCGAGTGAATGAAAGATATATAGGTCTCATTGTGAAGCGGAAGCAGTGGTGAATTTTCTTACTGACTTCCCTCCTCTCCTTAACAGTCGAGTCTCCTTCGGACCCTAACTTAAGAGCTTTAATAGCTTAGCTCATCTTCGGGCATTTTCACCATCTTGGTTGGTTGACAAGAGGGGTTGGGAATAGGAATAGTTGAAGAGCGAAGCAAACTTCCGGGTCATCACAAAGAAAACGAAAACCAAGATTTACCTGCGAGGAATTATAACATCTTTTAGGAGTATCAATACCGTTACATGCATGAATGTGATGGATTACAGTTCCTAATGGAATAGGTAACGTGAAGTGGAAGCAGTGGTGAGAGCTGGGAGATTCACTAGTACAACCAATTTAGACTATTTTTTTGGTATCATGTCATTTATTTAAAACATGAAAAACAAAGAAAAAAACATTGCAGGACATGAATATTGCACGTCAGTTGAGTCTATAATTTCACCATTTCACTTTGTTATAGCTGTGTCCATGGGGTTCACACAATCATTTCTTGACAGCTGTGTTTGTTAGATTGATTTAGTGGCGGGTGGCTTTAGCCAGCATATACTCTGTCTAACTCCCTTCTATTTTGAAAATGATTATGATAATTGTGTGATTTATTCACCCTCATTAGCTGTAAGAGCATTTTCAAATATATTTATTTTAATCCTCATATCGTTGGGCTGGATTTTATTACCAGAACTCGAACATATTGTACTGCAATGTGGGGTCAACCATAAAACTTTGGTTTCCTTTCCGTCATATTGCTTTNTAGAATTACTAACAATAAATAAAGAAATTAAAAGTTTTCCACATAAGTATTGAAAGTACGTGTCATTTCACCATCCAACAAACTCTACAGATAAATTTTTACCAATTCCTTTCTTCTTCTTCGTTCACCTCCTTCACCACCATCCACTGCTCCACAGTCCCGTCCACTCCCCCACCCTCTCTCTCTACTCAAACTTTGCAAGTACATCATCAAATCCAAACCTTTGAATCTATCACAACCACCGTCCATGGCGACTCGCCACCTCCTCAACCTCACGCGCCGCTCCCGAAACCCCTCACGGCCTCTCTCTCCACCATACCTAACCCAAACCTCCCGATCCGCTTCACAATCTCTCGCTCAAACTCATGAATCCACACCTCCAGCATCCCCACCTCCCAAAGACTTCATGATCTATGACCGCCTAGCCGAAGGCGTCAAATCAAGGCTCAAACGCCTCGAAAACCCCGACCCCAGGTTCCTCCGATACGCCTCACCATACCCAACCCTAACCACCCACACCGGAATTCTCTCCGCGCCTGAGACTAAAGTCACGACTCTCCCCAACGGCCTCCGAGTTGCCACAGAGTCAAACCTCGCTTCCAAAACCGCCACCGTCGGAGTGTGGATCGACGCAGGGTCGAGGTTCGAGACCGATGAGACTAACGGCGTTGCGCATTTCTTGGAGCATATGATTTTCAAGGGGACTGCGTCGAGGAATGTTAGGGCTTTGGAGGAGGAGATTGAGAACATGGGAGGGCATTTGAATGCGTACACTTCGAGAGAGCAGACCACATATTACGCTAAGGTAATGGACAAGGATGTGCCCAAGTCGCTTGATATTCTGGCGGACATATTGCAGAATTCTGCGTTTGAGGATGGTCGGATTGATCGCGAGCGCGGTGTGATTCTTCAGGAGATGGAAGCGGTAATGTTTGTTGTCAGATTTAATGTTATTTTGAAAAAATTAGTATGAATTTCTTTATGGGTAATTGTTCAGTGTTAACAAGTAATGGGCTTTCTTATATTTCAGCTTTTGCCATGTTAGACTTTCACAAGTTTTCAGTAGTTATAATATCAGGTGCTATTTAAATTGTAGAATTTCACTAGTTCTGACTGGAACTTTGAGTTGGCGGATGTGAAAATTTCATCTAACACATCGAAGTATAGCGTTTACAAGACACTTGGAAGCGTGGATACAATTTACTGCATGCTTAAGTAAATTCAACATGTTTCTAGCTTTGGTGAACTAAGTTTGGTTAACTGACCTTACGATTATGCAACCTGGATAGACAGCAATTCTAATGTCTTCCAAGTAGAAAGGGTTCGAGTGAATGAAAGATATATAGGTCTCATTGTGAAGCGGAAGCAGTGGTGAATTTTCTTACTGACTTCCCTCCTCTCCTTAACAGTCGAGTCTCCTTCGGACCCTAACTTAAGAGCTTTAATAGCTTAGCTCATCTTCGGGCATTTTCACCATCTTGGTTGGTTGACAAGAGGGGTTGGGAATAGGAATAGTTGAAGAGCGAAGCAAACTTCCGGGTCATCACAAAGAAAACGAAAACCAAGATTTACCTGCGAGGAATTATAACACCTTTTAGGAGTATCAATACCGTTACATGCATGAATGTGATGGATTACAGTTCCTAATGGAATAGGTAACGTGAAGTGGAAGCAGTGGTGAGAGCTGGGAGATTCACTAGTACAACCAATTTAGACTATTTTTTTGGTTTCATGTCATTTATTTAAAACATGAAAAACAAAGAAAAAAACATNTTTGGTTGCTTTACTTAGTAGGGGAGGAAAGCGACCCTCCAGAATATGGTCTACCTTACCCCGTCTCGGGCTTTCTAGATCCCTCAGAACATAGTCTTTCCAGCCTTTCCGGAGGTTCCGAACCTATGAGATTTCACCGGGCTTTCTTTTGTGAACTCTTTCGGTACTGCTTTTTGTTAGCAGCTCTTGATCTTGAAGGTGTGCTGGCTGATGAATCTCTTTCCGGGTTCTCTCTATCTGCCTTTCCTGGGTCCTGAAGTTCATTCTAGTCTGGCAAGGATGGAGGTTGAAGGAGAGTTGAACGAAGGGTCTACTCAAGCGAATGAGAGCGAGCAGAATAACAATAAGAGAATAGCCGTCCTCGAATTATGTTAGGGGGTCTTTCACTTTCAAATCGATATGAGATCCGAAGCCTTCATAAAAAAAAGAGGGCATTCCTTAGCTTTACTTTAGAAGAGAAGGTAACCATATTCAAAGACGCAGCCATAGAGCATGAGCCTTCGTTGCTACTCTACTACTTATTTATAGCTATAGTTATCGCCCGATCCCGTATTAAGCCAGAAATAGATAGGGGGGGCAGGAAAGCAAGCGAAAGGAGGAAGGCCAGGAAACTCTTTAAGTGAAGCTCCGTTTGAAAAAGTCAATAAAGAAGTGAAGCCCTTTAAGAATAAGAAGAAGCCGAGGCAAGCAAGAAGTAAGCCGTTTGGGGAAAGCTTTAGATTGGCTCATGCGAGAAGCTGAGGGAACCGAAGGTTGGCTCAAGAGAGTCCTTTACAGCCTAAGCTCAGAATGAATCAGAACTTGGGAGAAGAAAGACTCACAAGACAAGGCCTTTGGGCTTAGAACAAAGGGGAATCGAACTATGAAATTCAAGCAAGTAAGGGTATGGTGAAAGTCAGATGCGGAAGGTTCTTGATATCGGGTAGGTTCAATCGTCATCTGTCGCCTTATTCTAGTTCTAGCTAGCTGGTGCTGCTTGAAATGCGACATAAGGAAAAGGTTCAGAAGGACCTCCAGCTTGTATGGCGATTCTTTCTGCACTTCCCGGAAGATCCCTTCGTTTAAGAAAGAGCTCTCGCTCGCTAACTCTTCAACTATCCTCTATTTATTCTATTTTTATGTCCTAGCCAGAAATCGAAAAGGTGAAGGCAAAGGGACTAAGGATGCCAAAAAGACCGCTTTTTCATGCCTTAAATCAATCCCAGGGAAAGAGGCCAAAAAGCTTTGACTAATAAATAAGA